TTAAATAGCATTGAATAATAGTAGCAGTAGAATAATGAAAAGTAAACAAATCCTCGTGAATCATTTTGATAGCTTGTATTTCAATCCTCACACATTTTAATAAGCAATTCTTCTGTGTTAGTTTCTGATCTATCTTTACTTCATCACCTAACCCTAGCAGGAGAACAGACTCAAAGCAATCAGGAACAGAAACGGTCTGCTGTTGCTTCTGTATAAGAAAAACACATTTAAAGGCTAACTTACCTTTTTTTTAATCAGACCTCTGAAAATCTCTATGCTCTTTTTCTTTTCAAAACAAGTTTGTCATCACCTTCCCTGTAAACACTGTGTCATTGTTGAGATGTCACACATGGTTTGCAATCCACAGATTTGACATTCAGCTCACGATCTGACTGGTTCTGAGGCCAAGTTCAGACCAACTTTGTGCCCATTAGTGAAATTGGGACAACATGGCGGCACACTGAGAATCTCAAAACAAAAGCACATGAACCAATCATCCAGCAGTGCTTCAGTCATGACGCATCACACACACCGCTGCTGTTTCTGTAATGTCAGGCTGTATTTGAATAGTGATCTGTATGATGATCATATCAAAAAGTTCTTACAGTCATAATATTCAATCCTTCACAGTTGACTATACCTGATCTGTTCAACAAAAGTCTGTGCATTAAGTTTTTAAAATATGCTTCATTTTGTATGTCAAAGCTTAAGACCACACATTTACTGAGTTGTTAATGTAAGATCTATTTGGGACTTCAGGCTTCCATTTTTTACAGACTGAAAACAAGAAGGAAAAAATTCTTAAGCTGAGTCACGAGCATACAGATTACTTTTGGACGACCTTCTTTTAAAGTTTGCTCTCCACAGATTTTGGATGATAGAGGGAAGTTGAATTTTGGCAAAATCCTCAGATTTTTAGATTGAGAAACTTTATCCGTTGCCAGGACTTGTCTCCAAGCGGCAGGCTTGTTCAGATTTATGGGAAAGGCTTACAGTGCATCACAGCTTTGGTCTGTTCACATTTTTAGGAGGTTGTTTGTTGCGATAAACTACAGTTTTTTAAAATCTTTTCCTTAATGCACCTCAGTCACAGCAGTGCCATCTTGCTGTGCATATGTCCGTACAAGGACATTAATTGTTCAACCTTTGTGATCACATGGACCAGACAGAGAGGGATCATTCCACTTCAGTGTGGGCTTTAAAAACATCACACAATGTTTAGCGATGATAGTTGTTGGAGGGTGTTTTCCATCTTATCTCTGTTTCTACTTCCTTTGCATGCAGACATGTATCATCTGTGGATCAAACTTGAACGCCCTTTGAAATGTTACACATTTATTTAACTGATTGAAATAATTTCTGGGTTGAAGGACTTAATGATTTATGTAAAAATACATTTTGCATTACCCTTTGTAGCTATCCTTCTTCTGTCTTAGGGAAAATAAGGAAAATAATATTTACCTTATTCTGTTCTGTGGGTGTCATTTTTTTTTCATAGAGTCAATATGAAGTTTGGAAATTTCCCCAAATGTCTGGATATATGCGGTGGTCCACCTCAACTGACATGGAATGGAAAGAAAAAGACGAACAGCAGCGCAAAAATAACAAACACTCTCAATCCAGCTTTAATCTTTCAGGGTGAATATGTTAAGTTTTGCTGCCCTGAAACTGTCAAAACATAAGTGATGAAAACAGCGAGGCTGAACAAGAGGGAAAATAATGACATTGCATTGCACTGCGGTATTTTGATCACAGAATAATTTATCAGCTCAATACCAGCGCATTAAACCCTAAAAGATTAAGGTGGGACGTTTCCTCCACAGTTGACATTTTTCTCAAATGGACACCTTATAATGTGAATTTAAGGGTGTGCATTAACAGAGCCATACCTTTGTCTCGGTGTGTGCTTCAGCTCCTTAAGACCCATCATTCCTTTCTGTCGCAGCCTGATAAATCAGGGCACCTAATCAGTGTATAAATATTCATGAGTCCTGCTCATAGTGCTTTTGAAGGTGTAACTCTTAACAATGGGTTGGCACGCAGCCTTCAATGAGCCACAAATCCTGCAGCCGAAAAGCAAAGTTGAGAGGTGTAGGGATGGAGTGTGCGGCTGAATTCACCCTTTTAGCATTTAGAGTAAGTTTTGCCCACGGGAGCTCACGAGACTACTTCTTTTTTTCTTTTTTCTTTTTTTTCAAAAACTCCTAAGCAAACCTCTCTCGTTCATTTTCAGAAATTGAAATATGAGGTGTCAAAACAGCGACAATTATGAAAAATCATAAATTTGTGACCAATTTGGGAAAGGGAATGAGGTTGTCATCTATCGGAGATGTGTGCGTTTTCAATTTGGCGTTCCTTAATGCCTGCCAGCTTCTCTCACCGTGCCGTTAAACTGCCATTTCTCCTTGTACTAATTGAACACTCCGCCCGTTCTTGGCCCACACCATCATGCATTGCTCATCTATCATTGTTTGTTGGGAGCCACTGTGGTTGTCCTTTCCACTGACTTTGAGAGAGCACTTCATCTTATTTGTTTGTTCCCTGACATGGGCATGATGCACTCGACCAGACTGGCCATTTAGAAGCTGGGTACCATTCAAGAACAGCCTCCCTCAACAGATTGTGTTACCCAGAGCATTGGCTTTGTAAGCGGCCCGTGTACTGAGATCATTTGTCATTTGTAAACTAAAACTATTTACCATTGGCATCTAATTTACTTAAAAGATAAGCTACAGAAACACCGCACACAGTGGCACAGACCTGCAATCAATAAAGGACTAGAAGTGGCTCCCTTTCTCTCTCCAGTGATTTGTGTGTTGGGGATGCTTTGAAGCACAGTCCAATCCATCTACAGTAAATGTATTGTTAGTTAAAAAATATGAGTCAGATGAGTGATGGGAGAAGCCATTACTGGTCACATCAGCATATCAGAGTTACAAAAATAACGTGCGGCTAAAAATGTTAAAAGTTAAAGTTTTTCAAAAGTTGTGGGCGAGGCTGTTAAAACGCGGGATAAGGAGTTTAAAGTGGAGTTATTCTAACATTTACACTCACACTTTTCAATGGTGTCAGTGACTAAACTGGTAGTTTTAGAGTTCATAGCTCATAGCCACATTTCCACCTACCAGCAAATGGCAGCGTTTACTCTGACCCTTCAAATTCTGATACTTTATCAGGTAAATGTGTTTGAAACAAACTAAACTCAATTATACTATAATATACAAGGCTAGATGCAAGTGGGGGTATTCACTTTTTTATCACTTCCTTTGATTTTTCCTCAAGAATATGCGAAAGAAAGAAAAAACAAAAAATCTACTCACCGGAAAATGAATAGACATGATCTTATTCATGGCGTCACCCAGATAAATAGTCGGAACAGCTTCGCTATTAATAATTACCCGAATCCCAGCCACGTTTGCGAGGCATCGTTCTAAAACACGAGGATCCCAAACACGTGTCTTCTGTATTTTTCAACAGGAAAGTTCCAAATCCCTGGAGGGGAGATGAAGGTGTGCAGAATAATAACAGAACCTCCATCTCAGAAACGAAAACAAACCCACCAATCCTATGCTAACTTCTCATTTCAGCGGTTCCTCACAGTGCACGCAAACTGGAGCAAAGTGGTTTTGATGGTTCTTTTTGCTCAACTTTGTGAGTTTGCACTCATAAAGGATACTAACTCGACCTGAAGTAGAGTATTCAGTTTGATGTCAATTGAAGGGATTCTCTAAGCTTTCCATAATAACTTACTCTACGATACAAGTACTGAGTTCAAACTTAAGATGTCTGATTGTTCAAAACTATTCCATCAATGTCAAATCATAGTGCTGAAATAATAAATGATTTTCATTTTTCTGATAAAATATCTTAAATCGTTTACTCTTTGAGACCTTCCGTCTCTCGCAACTTACATCAACAGTGTGACATTTGTTGAGTGTGAACCATAAAGTTGAATATCAGGCCAAAAAAAGTTTGTCCTGAAATTGTAAAATTAAACAAATACGCGCTGAGATGAATGAATTTATGTCCTGTGTGTTAAGGATGTGTATCTCATTGTACAAACTGCCCTTTGAGTCATCTACTGAGAAAAATTAACAGCTTTTTGTTGACTGAGAATGTGTCTGTGAAGCCAATTTAGCAGAACAAATGTTCAACAGATTTATTTTTCCTTTAACGTTCAGGGTAGATTAGGCCCATAAAAAAAATTAAACATGTTAGGATGATTTGAATTTGAAAAAATAAATGAAGAAAAGAGAAGAAACCCTATTACTTTACACCTGAAGCAGTCAAACCTCCCCTTATATATCATCCAAATAGCAAAAACTCCCATTTTTACTGTGTTAATGTTAAGCAGCGATGATTTGGAGGACGTTTGCTGCACATTTACAGGCTGTAAAAATGGTATAATTCCCAATGTTATTAAAGTTCCCACATACCATACTTTGATCTTTTAAAATGATCGAGTATAGGTCGGACTTAGGCTCAGGAACAGGGTCCTCTGTTAGTGTTTTTTATGGGACAATATGCCAAAGTGTCCTTGGCAAAAAACGTTCAACCCCGTGTCACCTGCGGTCTCTAAAGGTGTGTATTTGGGAAAACAGTGTTGCATAAATGGATGAATGTGGCTCAGAGTAGTTAACTACACAGTAAAAGCGCCATATAAATACAGTTCATTTCCCATTTATTGCCAAATACAAGATTATTCAAACGGAAACTTAGCTGACTTTCAAAGCTGTAAGTATGACTGGCACCTGCGGTGGCGTTTGAAAGAGTCCTTCGGCTTAAAATCCGCCCAACAAATAACCGAGTATTAACAAGTGTCTCCGAATCAAGGTCACAATTTCGATCACGGCCGTGGCTGCGGGGCTGTGCCGGGAGAGAGAACTCAGCTCTTTGCTCACTTATTCTGCTCAGTCTATTTATCTGATGATATTCATTATTGGCAGTGTTGGGAAAATCACTGCTCTCGTTCTGACTGTTTAACCCGCTTCCCTTTAAGGAGACGCTGCGAGGGAGGGGCGAGCACTAATCAAAACTGCAGGGGCACCGCCGTGCACGATCCCACGTGCACTCAGAGGAGCAGAAAAACCGGGATGGAGGCGAGGTGACCTCGGATGAAGCCAAAAACCTCCGACCACTTAGTCGCTGAGGGCGGTGGAGCTGCTGTCAGGCCGCGATGGCGGGAAGAAAAAAAAAGGAATTAACTTCAAGGACAGACCAGATAGTGAACAGAAGTCAAAGGGAATGTTGCTGGAGGATTTAGGCGCCGTGTGGAGTAGCTCTGTTGTGTGTTTTCTCATTAACAACCGAGCAGTGGATTAACGGTGGCTTAAGGGGCCACTGGCGTTTCTATCAACACACGCTCCGAAGAGACATTTTCGCACAATATAAATTGACATAATACACCTTTTTTTTTTTCTCAAAATGAGATGATTGGGTTGAAAATGGATCAATGCTTACCCAAAGGGCAGTTTTCACTCCCACCTCCCTAATGTTGGTCCTCAGCACCTATTTGTGACTGATTAGATAATAAGTCCAAAATAATTATTGTTTTTTTTTATCTCTCTATGAACTGAGCCGATTTAAACAAAAATAATCACATAATTGAATACTATATAAAGGACAGAAGTAGACAGGTTATGAACCATCCCACAGTTTTTCTTCCTGTCAGTTTCATATCATTGTATGTATGTGGATATAAATACGTGTTTCTCAGAACACGTATTACTTTTAGCTCTGCCCAAGTTTTAAACTTCCTGTCAGCTCTTTGTCTGGTGAGTGCTGAGTGCTGCAGCAGAAGCCCTGCAGAGTCACGAAACACATGGGTGCCGCCTTTGAGTGCATGCTCTTTGCTGTGTCCGTTGACTCAATACAAAATCGACTCCAGAATTACAATTTTGCTAGTGTCCGCGCCATCTGCCCCAAAGCTTCACAAAGACGCTGTGCCTTTAGTTGTACTCCCTGTGAGTGCAAATCGCTGTTTGGGATGGCTGTTTAGCAAATGCTCTGGTCCAAAGCTAGCCGCATGGGCAATCATTTAATTATGTAATCCTCATTGGGTTTCATTTTTAATCTCTAAAGTCCTCTGTATGAGACATAATAGCATAATTAGCAAGTCAGCTACCCAACGAGAAAAAAGCAGTGTGAGCGTTTTCGGTGGGCTATTAATGGGCCTCAATTACATGCACGGATGTAATGCAGTGTTGTAGTTAAGGTGTCATTTGGATTAAGGTTTGCATGTTAGCCCCTCTCTCCATGGGATCCAGTTTATCTGTTGAGCACAGCAGATGATAAAAACCTTGGTGTACAGCACACCTGTGGTTTACCATCCAGAGAAAGAAGAGTCTGCCAGTAAATCTGCAGGAATCCAAGGAAAAAGAAACACCTCTACCAGCTACCTCCTGCTTCACAGACTGAGCTCTGGGTTACTTCCCATGCAAAGGAAACAGTTATTGTACTTCTAAGGGCCAGTGTGTTTTATTTCTTGTTATTGACCCTATACATTTAAAAAAAAAAGAGGTGTTGGATCCGGTACGTCAGAGAGACCTCTTGCTGTGACTTGTTTTTAAAGACATTTAAAAGAAACAGCTGTATCATTCCTAATTTGTCCAGTGAGTAGATCCAACACGCTCTCAGTCCAAACACATGACATACCCCTGCTGCAGTATGTGAAGGCTGAGAGCCCTTTGCGTTTGTTTTAAACTCTCTTTACAGGGATGCGGCTCTGCAGCTGCATTTTGCACGTCATTCTTCAGCAACGGGAAGTCACAAACTGGAGGAGGGGAAAGAAACACAACTTCCAAACATCAAACTCCCTTGTCTCCCACCTCCTTTGAGCATTTTTTATTCAATTCCTTATGGCCTTCACACTGCTAAAAACACGTCATCTTAGTTAAAAGTGCTGCGAAAGTGTTGCATTCAAAAACAATGTAGTAGAATACTGCCCAAACTTTGATTTTCTCTGATTTCTGTTTTCAGACAGTAGGCTTTAAGCTTGATTTGATACTGGAGCAACCAATAAAGTAAACCTATTAACTAGCCCTGAAACTAACGTGTTACTTGCCAGCATTGAAAACTGAATCAATCTTAACAGTATGAAATATTTTGGCTGATGCAGGCTAAATATTTTCACTGTGATGATAGCCTGAAACCTCACAGGTTGACTCTTTGTGATGGATCTTCCTGCAGAAATGCATAATTCATCACTTATTTTTTGGGGGTAAGCTTCCTGGAAAGAAATATGAAAAACGTCTATGACTAGACAGTGTGCGAATGCAGCGTCTGTGAGTTTTCAAACAGCATTTTTAAAAGGCAGACCTTGATGCAAAAGCACCTTTGTTTACCAGAAACCGATTCTCTGCTTGCTTGCAGAGGGAACTCTGAAAATAGAATGAACAGAACAACAAGAGTCAAATATGTTTTCCCCCTTTCTTTTTGTAGGAAATGTGCACGTATACCTCTGGTATAGCTTTGGGGCTGAGGCTGTCTCCAGCATCATTTAAACACTCACATAGTTCTTTAAATCCAGGCTTCTAACACGAAACGTTTATTCAGCTCTCTGCGTTTATCAGTGAAGACAGGCTGTGATTTTACAGTTTATAACAGCAGTGCCATGAGTCTCACAGTCATTTCTAAACAATGCTGCTGTCACACCACCGTGTGATAGGAAACGCCGCTTAGTGCCGGGTGTCAGTGTGTCAGTCCCTCCATCTCGAGGATGTAGATTTCGTGGACTCCATGGAATGGTGTGACATTTCGATGGATTGTTTATCCCACAATTGGCTATCCTAACGCAGGAAAACAGGCAAAGATAGGTCAACGGCATCCGAGTTTGGTCGCTCTGGAAGAAGAAGACAATCGAAGTGTTGAGCATTCTTAAGCTGTCTCTGTAAAGCCATGGGGGGGGGGGGGGGGGGGTTGTCTTGGAAACATATTAACATATACGCACCACTGCGTGAGATATGTGATGAACCCTATGAAGCCTGCTAACGAGCCAGAAACTCAAGAAGTTCAGATTGAAGAGGTGGAAACTCCATCTACAGAGACGCCAGAGCCAGTGTTTTATATATAAACTGTATATACATAGGTAGGCGTGTGTGTGTGTGTGTGTGTGTGTGGTAGTTTGCACTACAAAAGCTTTTTGTCTTTCACATTCATTAAAGATGAAGAAGACATTGTGCGACTTGTCTTTATCCAAGAATGTCTTTTGTTTTGTTATGAATATCTGTAGCACCAGAATAATCTGACAGTCTAGATTCTGCAGTGGATGAGAACATTTTTTATACCCGAGACATATTTCGTATTTTTTTCCCACACATTCCACATTTTGTTTATGTTTTTTTGGCACCAGTTAATGGATTCTTCCTGCTTGTGTTCACAGCTGTTTGGGAAGTGTCGAGCCTCTGGTCATTAGTGGAACTATCAGCAGGTGGGACAATTACAATTAGTTTTTCTTATTTAATTGCAAGTTTACCGAGAAGAAACAAAGATTTGCCAGAAGTGGAGCACAACCAACCAGATTTTTTTGGGTTATTTTGCAACTATGTTGTAACTAAATTGCCCGGTATGTTGAAATGATTCAATATTCTTTAGCATTTTGCTGGAATAGATAAATACAAATTCTATTTGTAGTTATCCCTGAAATATTAAGGGGGTGTTTTTTTAATTAATCTTCATTTTTGGACTATTTGCCATAATATTTCAGTGATCTTGTGTCAAAATGTTAGAAATACAGGAGAATTCTGTTTGTGTGAGAAGTATCTTTCATACATGAGGGTGTGGGTCTTAAATTGATCCCTGAGGGAGATTGATGAATATGCATTGCGCAGTCTTTGTGAATATTTTCCAACAGGTGGGTATACAAAAATATTACTTGTGTTTCTTTTTTACAACCGAAGGTGAAAAAGACTAGGTATGATTAAACAGTTTCAAAGTTTTATGTCAGATGCGGATCATTTTCCTATGACTAGCCTTTAATATTTTCATGGCAAATACTGTGAAATCTGTGTGCTTTTCCCTAAAGTAACCTTTAATTTCAAATGCACTGAAATAAAGGGTTGAAGACGATCACCAAACAGACCCAGGAGACATTCAGCATTTTCAAAAGCATGTGTTCAGGTTAGTGGTGTTTGCTTTTCATTAATTCGCCTCACACTGGACAAATGACAGCAGTTGAAATACCTCAAGTGTTGCCTCTTATTTGCAACTAACAACTGAGGGTGCAAGCCACTTGTGTTTAAGGGTGGGTGTTAAATACATAATGGTGAAGCAAATGCTTCAGAGGGGGAGAAGAAGCCACAATTTCTTCCAAATTTGCACAAAACATTTTTACCGAGACAAGCTTCTCTCCCTTAAACCTAATTGGGGTTATGCTTGGTTTAGGATTGTCTGGGCATCCTGCAGCAGCTCCTGTGAACAATTAGCATATAAAGAGGATATTCTTAAGAATTCTCGTAAAAAGACCCCGAAAACAATCAATTAAGATGTGGAGCTGAATTCCTAATTGATGTCTGCAGTAGGGGCAGAGAGCAACATACTGATCTGATGGCTTTTTAACTGATAAAAATATAGATTGTATCTTTTCCCAGAATTTTAGCCTGCCAAAATTGTACAAAAAAGCACTGGAAACCATTTGTAAGGGATATTGATGATTGTCTTTGAGCTTTCAGTCTGGAGAAACTGTGAGGATTCCAGAACAACCGGTGCTTAGAATAGAAAAGGTTTCTCTCTTTTGACTTTCCTCTGCAGGCTATTACTGATTGATGACTGGTACAGCTGACTTTAAGGTCTCCTAAAATTAGAACATCAGCCCTTCTTTTACAACAAAAACCCTCCAGAAAACCCTTAACTTTCTGGTAGAGATTTAGCATTAGCATTTTAACTAATTTCTTTGCAATATAAATCTTGCAGTGAAGTGCTCGCCATTTGCGAGCTGTTTCATCATCACTTTTGCAGCATGACGCAGTCAAAAAATCCAGAAAATGCTGATAATCTTTTTAGATCGGAGCTACTTTAAATGGGTGAGAATATTTTCTCGGAGGGTTTTCTTCGAGCAACAGTTTATCTTCTGCCAGGAATCCACTGTGGCTTCATAAACCAACCAAAGATCAACACGTCTCTACATATATATGGAGCTTTCTAACTCATCGTATTGCTTGCCTCGGCATTTCTCAAGGCTTGCTGACCTTATTGCACGGCTCTATGAACAATCAAATCAAAAGCAGGTATATTGATTAACAAAAAAAAATGCATAGAGCACGCGGTCATACCTGTGTAGCAGCACAAATGTATCATCTGTTACTTTACGCTGACGGCGTGGCCACAAAGCGTTAACTCTAAACTCCTCTGTTGTCAGCGTAGGTGCAAGAAACCGTGGCGAGGAAACGAGAAGTGGCAGGTGAAAGCCGCCTGTTCGCAGCCTGACAGTCTCTGTCCCTGCGCCGCCAACAGGAAAAAAGGTGACCTTGATAACAAAGGAAATGCGACGAGTGGGGGGGGGGGGGGGGGCACACACACAGCCCCACACAGAGGTCTGTCAGACTATTATCAATGCTGCAGAGCTGCATTTGTAGGCGCTGCGGGGATAGCATGAGAACCAAAAGACAGTGACAGAATAACTATGGGGGAGAACAATGAGAGAAAAGAGCAAGTTCAGGTTGGGGGGGGGGGGGGGGGGGGGGGGG